CCCATGATACAACTGCATAATTCTTATGATTCGCATCACTCTTAATTCATAAGCTTTCGTACATTTTCTGTGTTGTACTCTCATAAAAAACCAGAGAAACAAAAAATAGAAAAAAATGAAGGGTTGCATATGTGAGTGCATGATAATTGAAACTTTTCTGATCTCTATTTATAAAACATTCAACCAAAACAGTTTTTGATATAATGGAGGTTTTTATTTCTGTATTAATCATGGTATTAACCATTAACTTAATGACAGAATTGAAGATGGGAGTTTATTACATTTGACTAGTTAAAAATATCGGACTTTAATCTAAAATACTCCTCCGTACATCAACAAAATCTAATTTGCTCCTGTTATAATATTTATTTTCTTTTTGATTTATATTTTAAATAAAAAGACGTAAAAAAACGATAAAGAGTTTAATAAATCAAAAAATTACAAACCAACCAAATAATAATCATTTGGATTTGGGCCCAAATTAAATTTAAATCCAGTCAAAAGTCAAACCCAAACAAAAATAAAAAACAACATTTTTCTCTATCTATTTTTTAATTTTCGATCAAATCATTAACTTTCATCTTCTACACTACGAACAAAACCTTAATTCTCCTTCTCCATCATCGAAACGTCACCTGTCGCTGACATCGCATTTCCGAGAAATCACCGTGGACTTTAATTTTCCGATCTCATGGCACCTCGTAGGAGAGAAAGAAAATCAGTTCGGTTGAGAACGCCTTCGCCGGATCATACTCCTTCGCCACCGCCGTCGAGTTTAAATCCACCGACGAAAAAGAAAACAGAGGTGGTGAAGCGTCTGGCGGCACCGCGAGGAAAAGAGAAGAAGTCGCAGAAGAAATCAAAGCACGGAACTTCCAGTGCTCTGTCTCCACCTCCGCCTCCAGCGGGTCCGGTGACTAATTGAGAAGAAGAAAATCCACATCCGGTGATTGAACGAGAAGAAAAAAGTATTGGCCTCTAGATCATCCCTTTCCCTTCCCGTGTGGCTCCGATGGTGCAACCGGCAGCCGGCCCGCCTCCGATTCCAGAACCGACAACCGGTTCGTCGTTGCAACCACCACCGGTAAACCCTAAATTTTGCTGTACAATGGCTAGTATAACTTGGTCCAACTAGTCCGACTAGTATGAGTAGTTCAACTAGTTCAACTAGAAAACGGTTAGTATAAGTAGTCTAATTAGTTCAACTAGTCTAAGTAGGTCAACTAGAATGAGTAGTACGATCATTTTGGATTCCATGAAATGTCGAGTCTGAGATGGAATTGGGTTCAAATCTTAAGAATAGTATAACTAGGTCAGCCATTTTGGTTTATTTTCGATATAATGAGTTTCAACGATTTTGGTTTATTTTTGTTAGGTGGAAGCGATGTGGATACAGTCTGAACTCTTGCGAATGTGAAAATCAACAAACGACCTAATCTTCAAGCCCAAGCAGCAAAGAAATTGATTAATAAGCTTAAGAGGAGTAAGACTCCAAGGCCAAAAAGGAAGTTGAATCGTTCACGTTTGGTGAATGACCCTTTTGTTATTATGTAAGAACTTAGGCATTTGAACTTGTGTTGTGTGCTATGTTAGAATTTGTCTTTGTGTTTTTCAGTATTTAGACATATATTTTATGCAAGTCTTTTTTATGTGTTGAAATAAAAAGTACAACTAGCAGAACTAGACTAACTAGAACTGAATTTCAAAAACGTGTGGCAGCAAAAAAACGTGTGGCAGGAAGTTTAAAATGGATAAAATATGAAGTCATGTGCGTCAACAAAAGAGGAAATGAATAAAAATGACCACTTGCGCCGTTAAAACAAAAACTGAATCTAATTTTTTATAACATAGTCGTACCCAGTTTTTAGTTGTACTCTATATACATAAAATTATATTTTGATGGTAAAATTTTGTAATCAGTAGTATCATATCCTAAATTAAACTTTTTTAGTTGTACTTGTGAAATTTAGCAAATAAACTACATTTAACATATTCTAATGCTATAACTTGTATAAAAATACAAACTTATATGGTTTTCATGTTTGTGAGGTTAAGATTTTCAAAGTAACCTTAAAAGTATAAGGTAGATTGTGTAGACATCACATTTTTATGGATCAAACATTTTCATGGATCAAATTTATTTAACTATGAAAAGTTCAAATATGTTTGCACATGTTCTATGGCCTGTTTTATATGGAAATATGTTTACAAATACGTTTAAAAATTGTGTTATTGGCATTTTTGTTGAAAGCATAGTCGTACTGGTTTTCCCAGTTGGACTTGAGTACAACTAAAATGTAGTTGAACTAGTTGTACTTAAAACAAGTGGTACTAGTCGCACCAGTCGTACCAGACATATTAGACACGGAATATAGAGTTGTACTAGTGGATAGTAACTAATTTTCAGCTGAGATGTAGCTGCATCTGTCAAAACTTTTCTGCAAATTCCCTCCACTAATAGAACATAAGTGACATCCTCCTAAGATTTCCTCATCACTAAAGTGTGAATCTCATCTTCTCCAGAATTCCATATAATTTTATCACCGTCTTTTGAATAGGATCCCCTATAATCAAAACATATGACTGTGCAATCACTTTTACTCATTTCCCCTGAAAAGAACAAAATATTCGTAAGGTGATCTTATCATAGTTATACCAGTTTTCATAGTCGTATTAATTCACTTAATATGTTCAGTTGTGCTAGTTGTACCCAGTAGTACCCAGAAAGTTTGGTTCATCATACGAATCATCACGATTTATTACGATTCATTGCTCAGTTAACCAAGATATCTCATTTAATTAACAATATCAGTTTCTAATAGGCTTACCCAACTAGCTCAGTGACTCAAATGAGCAAAAAAAAAATCAAAATTTTCTTTACTATGAAATTCCCTAATTGAGAAGAAACTATGTATTAATTGTTTTGCCTATGACATAAACTTGATAATTCAATCATGAAATCGAAAATAATATAAGAAACAGCAACAACTAACCTTCAATTCCACGCCTCTGATTTTGTCAATGGTGGAAACGTGAGAGGAAGAAGACGACGGGAGGAGCAATTAAATTTTGGTGGTTGGTTTAGTTGGTTTAGAGAATTAATTTTAGCGCTGGTTTGAATTAAATTTCTTATCAAACCACCCAATTTATTTTTTTAAATAAAGGAGTGAACTGTCAATTCATTAATGGGATGGGCAGTAAGATTAGAGGGGGCAGTTAGATTTTTTGGGGTGTACGGAAGGGTATTTGAGATTAAAGTCCAAAAATATCTATAGTGATCAATTACAGAATTAAAAACTGAATGCAAACAAATATGTTCATGGGCCCGCTACTCATTACATAAACCGAACCCGAGCCCAAGTCCATAACAACTTAGCTCGGTGCGCGCACATAGGTTTTCTCCTCACTCTTCACAAAGTAGTCCTAAAGATTTTACTTTGTTCGGACTTTTCCATAATATTTCAACTTAGTCCATTTTATGCATTTCAAGCCACAAACATTAGACAAGCATTTCTCATTCAACAAAACTCTAATTTTAACATATGATTACATTTCATAATCCGATAATTCCTTTGAGAATATGTCAAAAATTACCTGGAAATGAACCGACACAACATGCCTTAAAATGTAGTTCCAACAAAGCAAAAACAAGGAAGAGGAGGAAGCGTTTAAGAATTTAACCAAAAAAGGAAGCTTTTAACCATGTATCTCAAGTCTTAACAAACAATAAAAAAAAAAACTATAACAGTCACTAGGTCGAGACAAGAACTTTTTGAGTGAAAAAGATAGAAAACTTTGAAGTGAGAACAACTTTGGTTGGTTCGACTGAATATTTTTGAGTGAACAAGATATTATATTTTGCTCGAGGGAGGAATCTTAATGCTTAAGAGTCTTGACTCGTCTCCCAATCCTAGAAATTTCCAACCACCATCATCAACACGAGTTAGGCTACCTAGGATGTTCGGGATATCAGGTTAGAGTGTAGGACCAAAATCTTTGTAGGCATTGTTAAGTTTTGCAAAGTTCTAAACAAAATCAATTTGTAGTGAATAGATTGGTTCGTGGTTGAGTAGCTTGTCTCATCCTGTTTCAAATTAAGGATTCTGTTATAAATATTATAAATGTTATCAACTAGTTATTTTACATGTATAAAACTTAATTGTTGAATGATTGAATCATTTTTTTTTTTTTTTTTTGAATGATAGACATTACAGTTTCGGACAAAAATCGTAACTGACAACAACCTAAAATATGGGACAACATTGAACACGCGCGAGTACTATAATAGAAATCACATATTTTTTTTGAGTGGTCCTTTGGATCGATTATTTAAAATTGATGTTTTTAGTTAGGTTTGGACAAATTACCTTGAACCAAAAGAACCAGACCAAATGGAACCAAATTGGGAGATACCAAACCGAATTGAATATTTATAAATCTCTGAATAGTTTTTCTATTTAAAATATTATTGGGTCCTTAAACCGAGTTAATATCCGAAAACGAATGTATAATCAAAAAATTTAGTTATATTCAAATTTAAAATAACCAAAATATTTAAATTATTATTATTATAAATATACAAATATTAGTTATGTTTGATCATAATAACCTAAATATCTAAAATAACCGAGTAACCGAAATATTTGAATGTCAATAGTTACATTTTTTTTAATTAAATGTTTTTTTTTTTGCAAAATCAAGCCAAGTTTCATAAACATTTAAACACTTCATATTATTTTTGGGTAAAAATCAATCTTTATATTTTCCAGGTATTTCAACTAATTCAGGTAGTTTGGATGCTTTTTGAACAGTTTGGTTCGGTTCTTTCGGATAATTAATTTGGGTATTTGCCTACCAACATAAATATCTATACCGAATCAAACCAAAGGATAACCAAACTATATCGAACCGATTTCTTTTCTTTTCCTATATAGTTCCTAAAGAGGCATAACCGAACTACCCAAATCTGAAAGAACCGAATCAAATCCGACAGAGTAGTAGAGTACTGTGCCTATTATTTATTATTATGCACCAATGTGAGATAAAAAACATGTGCCTATAAATGATCAACCATATATTCTCTACAAACAACATATATACCTCTCTTCTTTGTTCTTCATATCTAGTTTGAGTTTCAACTATGGAACCAAATTGTGATTTGATATTCGCTCCTGCGATTCCCACTGACATTCACGGAATCAAGATCTTGAGACAACCTTCGGATTCCAAGCTTGCTGAACTTGGGGTTACCTCTTGGCCTATGTAAGTGTTTTTCCCCTACTCTATTTATTATTTTTCTATGCTGACTTGTTTAAATGGCATATATTTAAACTATGATTTTTAACAATACTTACTCAAAATACTAATAAGCAAAACCTATTCTCACAGAGGTCGCGAGAGTTGTGGCATGTTAGTGTTACTCTAACCTAGCAAGTTAATATTATCTACTATAAGTTATTAGGATTGCTTTTTATTTTTACCACCAAAAGGTAGTTATCCTTAAACATGGACAATGGCTAAGTAATTAAAATTGCAGTGGGAGAAGGACTCCAAGAACAACTTCACTTCTTCTTGCAAGAATTAATATGTCGACATTCTATATTACAGGAAAATGAATCTACCAAGAACGATTATGCTTGAAACTATTCAAGTGAAAAATATCTCTTGGTTATGTTCTCGAATGGATGATTAATTTATCAGTTTAGGAAAAGATCTGAAACACTGATCAACCTTATACTAAATGGAATTTTGAAGTCATGAGTCAGGTCACATGTTATAGTTGACTAACCGTCGAGATAAAACTTAAGCAGATGGGAAAGCACTCCACGCAAATTTCCATGGAAGTTTAAGAAGACAGAGACGATGTACTTCTTGGAGGGGAAGGTGAAAGTCACTATAGACGATAATCACAAAGAAGAGGAACAAAAAGCCTTAGAATTAATGGCCGGGGATTTGGTTGTGATTCCTAAAGACAAGAAAGTTGTTGTGGATGTAACTGAAGCTGTGAAGAAACATTATTATAGAGAGTACGAGATTGTGAAATCTGAATCACCTTCAAAAGCATAGTTTAAGGGATTTGAATAAATTATTTGCCTGTTATATCTACATAAGGCTTATAACACCTATATATCTTGTGTCTTGTAATCATAAATTAGTTGTATGTTTGGATCTAATATATCTTGTAATCGTATCTCCTATAGTGTTGAATGCTTAATCAAATAAGAGTCTTGTGTCTTACCTTTGGTCAACTCGTCTACATTTTTTAAACCTTTTAATTTGTTCGCAAAACACTCTTATGAATGAGTTATGAGTATACAGAACACAATCCCATGACGAACTAGGCATTGAAGGCGTGGAATATGAAAATTTGATAAGCATGGGTTTTATAACAACTTTTTACTTGAAATGTTAAATTAATTAATTAACAAAATTAAATGTTATTTACAAAATATCTTTATACTTATAAAGCACAATTCAGTTGGCAATTGTGAGATTGACAAGTGTCCCTTTTTAATGTTTTAAACTAATTTACTTTTTATTTTTTTATCACAGCAATTTATGTTTTTTTAAAAAAAATCTCACATTTATTGCATAACTACACATGATCTTCAATTTAACTTCCCATTTTTCACAGCATATCATCGCCACCCTCATCATATATATATATACATATTGTATATCATAAATGTTTAACCCATATAATCTTTTAAGAATTTACAAAAAAAAAAGCAGTTACTATAGGTATTCTATTGATTTTTTGATTTTTGAGTTTTAATCTAGATATTAGTGTGATTATTTACAAAATAAAACAACTACCAGAAACACACCATTATGAAAATGGCAAGATGCAAATTTTATTATTCCTACAAAAATTTTCTAGGTTCTACTTAATGATGATAATATTTATAGATCAAATATATTGGGATGATATATATTTTTTCTTTTTCTGTGATTTATCTTTCTGAGTTTGAGAAAAGAAGTCAAAAGAATAAAATAATATGCAAAGTAGATATTTATTTTTAATTTTTTACTTATTATTCTTTTAATAGATATTTTGTCGTGAGAAAGTTAAGTAACAAACCAAAATCATTTAGTCCATATTTAATTATCTATATACCAAACACTAAAATATTTTATTATTGTTATTATTATTCTATATTTAATTAACATTTATATATTTATTTAAACTAGTTAATAGATATTTTTAAATTTATAAAACACATAAGCTTACTACTATTGGATAAGTATGTTTACTTTGTCTTTCTATTATCCAATTCTCAAATTTAAGGTATTTCAATAGTAAAAATGTTAAACTGTTTTAATTTCAAACATGTTATCTTTTATCAATTTTATAAATAAAAGAGTTATTACTTAAATACCATATCAAACTGTTTTGATTTTAAACTTATTATCTTTTATGTTAATTTTATCTAAATTTTATTAATTAAATACCAATCCCTCTGCATAGCAGGGGGCAAAATTCTAGTATATTAATAAAACTGGACTCAAATCGATGCTTTCTTCTCGCTTAAAACTTTTGCGTCAATAATATTTTAGAAATATATTTGTCACGACTGTTTAAAAATTACGCACAAACAGTTATTTATTTGATAGTTACATATATTTAACAACATTTTTGGAAAATATTATAGGAGTTTCAGAAATTCATTATTTTTCTAACAAAAAAGAATTAAAGAACTTTTTTTTACCAAAACTAATTAATTAATTTGAGAGATATTTTTTTATAAATTAATTGGTTTATGTTTACTAGTTTCACACATTCACTACATAATTTTCATTTCTTTGATTTTTTTTATATGTTTTATATGTTGACATGTTGTTCTGTTATCCAAGCTTATTTAAGATCTAGCTAGAGTTCATCGTTAATATTTTATTTTGCCAGATTCGGCTAATTTCAATTTTTTGTCTTTCCACTATTAAAAAACCCATAAAAAGTTTTTAAAAACCCACTGATGCTTCTCTCAGATTTGGTAAAGTTAACTCATTTATAAGTTATAAGAATTGCGAAGAGAGCGTCTCTGTAAAAGCTTGAATCTTTGGTTTCTCTTTCAATCCATTCCAAACTTAGAGAGTGAAATCCAATGGGAAACCATTTTCTAACGTTGTCTCTTCTCCTCGTAATTGTCTGCGTTTGCGTTTCCGTCATCACCACGAAGCTAAACCCTAAAGAAGCAATCGTACCTCCCTCCGATTCGAATTTAGCTTCTGTGATTCCCATTGAAATTCACGGAGTCAAGATCCTGCGACAAGCTTCGGATACTAAATTAGCTGAATTAGGCGTCGCCTCTTGGCCAACGTCGGTTCCTTTCTCTTTTCACCTTCTTTGACTTTTGATTTTATCTCTGCCTCTTTGCTTCAATGTCTTGAATACAGAACTAGGGTTTCTTCAAAATGTTCTCAATTCATCGAAATTAACAACCTTTACTGTTAGTGTTGATCCAAATTTTACCGAATTGCATCACTCTTAGCTCAGGACAGTTTGATTTCGTGTTGCAAGAATCTGCTTAGGCCTAATTGTGTCTGAATCATGTAAATTTGTGTTAAGTCTTTATTCTATGGTTTACTAATAGCTTAATGTTGACATTTTAGACATTTTTTTCTTTTCCTGAATTGTGGTGACTGAGTCATGTAATGATGAGCAGGTGGGAAGGTAGTCCAAGCAAGTTTCCATGGACGTTTAAGAAGACAGAGACGATGTATTTCGTGGAAGGGAAGATCAAAGTGTATGTAGATGGATACGAGGAAGAAGAAGAAGCCTTTCAGATAGGGAAAGGAGATGTGGTAGTTTTCTTTAAAGACATGAAAGTTGTTTGGGAGATAACTGAAGCTGTGAAGAAACATTATAGCTTAGAGGAGTAGTGTAAAGAGAACTCTGTGTCGTTTTCGTTTGTTGTAGTTGATACTCTGGCTGTGACTAGCTTACCAATGGTGTTGCAATGTTAATTTGGGATTAAATGTCACAAAGCTTAATCTTTGTGTTCATTACGAAACCGGAAAATCATTGAGGACACGTTTGTTACTTTATTCATCATATATGAATTTCCCGAAACCAGGTGCACACGCGTTAAATCAGGAGATAGCAAAAACCCAATATCACCCCTGATCCATTCTATTCTTTGGAGGATAAAAACGTCATTTAAGAATCCAGACGGTAGTAAAGAGAGAAACCAACGGCCATAGCTTCTGGTTTTACTCCAACTTAACGGCAAATTTTGTTGGCTTTCCATCTATATATCATTCGATTTCATTTTCTATCAAATCATCAGATTCACAAAACACAATTCTCAAGATCCAAGAAAAATATCACAAAAATTCAAGAAGTTTCTCTGAATTTTCCAGTAAGATGAGTTCTACAAGCAAAGCGTGGACGGTGGCGGTTAGCATTGGAGTCGTAGAGACGTTAAAAGACCAATTAGGTCTCTGTCGGTGGAACTACATGCTCCGGTCGGTAAATCATCATTTACGGAACAACGTGAGATCTGTTTCTCAGGGGAAAAGGTTTTCGTCGTCTGTTTCCGCCGCCGTTATATCCTCCGGTGAGAGTGAAAAGGCGAAGAAAGCTGAAGAATCGCTTAGAACGGTTATGTATTTGAGCTGTTGGGGTCCTAATTGATAAATGTAAACAATGTATAGCGTATAACTTTTAAGATATCTTGAAAGACATGAAGTTTCAATCCATTTCTTGGTATGAAAGAATCAGAGCTTTATAATTCAATAGAAAAAACATGTCAAATGAAATTTCTGATCCCAAAGAAAGCAAGCTTAGAGTATCAACAACACAAAGAAAGAAAATATTAAAATCGTATTAAGTTTTATAATAGCGCAATAAATAGAGATTTTATAATTCATTAGATCTACTGGCTGTATTATTTAATATAAATCTTAAGCAAGTTTCAGAAATTTGAATTTTGTATAGATGTTTTGGATAAATGTGGACAAACAGAGAATTGGATTAAATTGAGAAATCTAACATGGGAAAAAAAAATTGTATGTTCTTAGCGGATTTTAGTAGAGCGCGGATTCAAGTTTTCCAAAAGCTAGGTTGTTGAGCTAATTGGTAACTATCAATCAGTCTAAGCTAAATTAAACATGAGGTGTGTGACATTTGTTTAATAGTTAATACTAAAACAAAATTCATTTCATAGACTTAGGTCTTGAATAATATTAGTTTTCAAATGAGTTTAGGGGTTTTATAATTAATTTTTCCTACAAAATATGAAAATGATTGTGTTTTCCTCTTCTGTCTCCATTTCTAATGTATACACTTTACAACTATTTTATTTATGTTTTTATCGGAAAAAATAATCTAAAATCTATACACCAATAGCAATAACAAGTATACTCTATAATTTAATTTCTATAAATAGTTAAATACCATAAATATTATAGACATTATGTAGATTAAATAAATAAAATTTTACATGCAAACGCTTCCTATTCTTTATAGATAAATATTTCATCAAACAAAAATATTAAATATTAAAAAATGCATCAATCAAAGAGATGGAGTCTAGGGTTCTGAGTAACGCAACGATGATGGAGGACGGGGAGAAGAATCGTCCTCCAGGAGACCCTCCTGATGCTGCGGGGTTGTGGGTGAGTAAGGTGGTGAGAATTAACGCGGGAGAGATACTGGATCCAGAGGAGGTGTTGGCAGATGAGTTTGTGAGAGCAATGCTGGAAGTGGAGTTTCCAAATGAGGAAGATGGAGAACCATTGATAACAATCAGACAAGAAGTATTGACGGCTATTAGTGGTTTATGGAAGAATTGTATGATAGTCAAGATACTAGGGCAATCTGTTGCAATACCCGTGCTTAGTAGGAAGTTGAAGGAGTTGTGGTAACTAAAAGGAGCGATGTTTGTTACAGACCTCCCCCGCCAGTTCTTTATGATTCGTTTCGATGAAAAGGAAGAATATATGAAGGCTTTGACGGACCGACCATGGAAGGTATTTGGGAGCTATCTTTTGGCGCAAGCTTGGTCCCCAGACTTTGACTCGAGACATGACAATATAGCCACTACACCTGTCTGGGTTAGGTTGGAAAAAATTCCAATCACGTTCTATCATAGATCCATACTACTGGGCATTGAAAGGATTGGGGAACCCGGTAAAGGTGGATAATACGACTCTACTTTGTACAAGAGCTCGATTTGCACGTATCTGTGTGGAAGTTAATCTGAAGAAGCCCCTTAAATGAACTGTGGTTATCAATGAGGAGTGTTACTTCGTCTCGTAGGAGGGCTTATCGAATATTTGTGCAAGGTGTGGGCTCTACGGACACTCTGTTTCGACCTGTTCAAAAGCAGGACAAGAAAAGAGATCGGAAGTGGCAGGGAATGTCCCTCAGCCGACGAGTCTGGCTGGTGAGGCTCGAGTTGGGGAGACACAGCAGGGAGATGGCATTATTGCATTTCCTCCGACTGGCCAGAGAAGGGTAGCTACGTCGAGGGAATCTGGGAGTCCGCCTGGTGGTCCTGGGGGTGTTTTGGGTAATTCCCAGCGAGGACTGACTAGGACGAAATATTCAGAGAATATTGCAGTATCGAACAGTTTTGGCAATTTGGAGGAGGATACAGAGATCCCAGATTCTCAGGGCACGATTGTTACATCGGATGCGAATAAGGAAAATACGGATTCGCAGAATATTTCGCTCCAACAGTTGAGTAGGGCGCAAGAAAACAATGTCAGATTTGAAACACAAGTGGATAAGCTGGGAATGGGGGCCCAGAAGGGAAAACAGGCTGGGAGTAAAAAGAATCCTTTGAGTACTAGTGTTAGACCCAAACAGTTGAAAGGTCAGCGACCCATAATGGGCCTCGTCTTTGGCCCAGAGAAAGGAGACATGGAACTTTCGATGAGTGGGAAGAGACTCCGTGTGGAGAAGGAAAATGTGGGACGGTCAGGGGGATCGTTTATGGCGGAGACCTCCGATACAATCGAGGACAGTCAACCGACACAGAACAGTATGACAGTCGATCAGGGGGGTTGTGAGAGCAGTCAGGTTCCCGCCGAGACAGATTCTGCCTCGAAATAGTAACCCGCCGACAGTAGAGGCGGAGATGGAGTTTGAGGGGAATGAGAGACGATGATATATCGCCCCGACTGTTTCAATCCTGCACGAGTTTGTCTGGATGAATCTATTACTATGGAACTGCCGGGGGGGGGGGGGGGGGGCGAATAAACCCAACTTCAGAAGATCAATCAGATATCTCTTGAAAAAATTAACACAGATGATCTTGCGCTTTTCGAAACCCACACATGTGGAGATCGAGCAGGGCAAATTTGTCGAGGGTTAGGATTTGGGAACACAGTTCGAGTGGATGCAGTGGGTCAGAGCGGTGGCTTATGGCTATTTTGGAGGACTGGAATTGGAGAGATCTAAGTAGTGGAGACTGCTGATCAGTTTATCCATGCAAAGCTAGTGAACGGGGAAGATTTTTTGCACCTGATTGTGGTGTATGCAGCACCGATAGTCAGTAGGCGAAGTGGTTTATGGGCACGCTTGAGGGATTCTCTTCAGGGGGTGAATGAACCAGTGATTATTGGAGGGGACTTTAACATAATAGTCAGGCTCGATGAGAGGGCTGGAGGGGAATGGGAGGTTATCCTTGGATTCTTTAGCCTTCAGGGAGTGGATCAGTGATCTTTCTCTTATCGATATGGGATTTAGTGGGAACAAATTCACATGGAGAAGAGGGCGGTTTGAGTCGACCTTTGTGGCAAAACTTCTGGACCGCGTATTGTGTTGTGCCCACGCTCGGTTAAAATGGCAGGAAGCAACGGTGAAGCATCTCCCTTTTCTTGCTTCAGACCATGCGCCGTTGTATTTACAACTTTCGCTGGGACCAATAAAGGACCCAAAACGAAGACTCTTTCATTTTGAAGTGGCTGGTTCCAACACCCAGAGTTTAAGGCTTTGGTGGGAGCTTCATGGCAGGGGGACATGAGCACACCTCAAGCGCTTACAATGTTAAGGGACACGTTGAAGAAGTGGAACCGGGAGGTTTTCGGGGATGAGCAGAAACGTAAAGATGCCCTGGCTGAGGAGATAAAGAGGGTGCAGGATTTGCTGGAGCTTACACAGTCCGATGATTTACTAGCCAGGGAGGAGATGTTATTAAAAGAGTTTGATGGGGTGCTGGAGCAATAAGAAACTATTTGGTTTCAGAAATCAAGGAAAAAGCATATAGCCCTTGGGGATAAGAACACCAAATATTTCCATACTTCTACTATCATTCGTAGGAGACGAAACCGCATTGAGATGCTGAAAGATGAGGGTGATATATGGATTACGGATAATCTAGCGCTTGTAAGATTGGCTGTTGAATACTACAAACGGCTACACTCATTGTTAGATGTGCCAGCAGATGTTGAGAATTTGCCGCAAGAGGGCTTTGTACGCCTCTCTCAAGGAGAGGTAGCAGATCTGAATAAACCTTTCTTGCCACTGAAAGTGGAGTAATCCATAAAGGGTATGGGGAGGTTTAAAGCCCCAGGACCGGATGGCTTTCAGCCAATCTTCTATCAAAGTTGTTGGGATGTCGTCGGTCAATCAGTCATCCGGTTTGCCTTACAGTTCTTTGACACATGACAGTTACCACGGGAGACTAATGATGCATTGTTGGTACTGATAGGCAAAGTGGATAAACCGGAAAGGATTACTCAGTTCCGTCTTATTAGTCTTTGTAATATTTTATTTAAAACCATTACTAAGACGATGGTGAATAGATTGAAGAGAGTTATGCCGAAGCTCATAGGCCCGGTGCAGTCAAGCTTTATCTTTGGAAGGTTGAGCACATACAATATTGTGGTTGTTCAAGAGGCGGTACATTTCATGAACCGTAAGAAGGGACGAAGAGGTTGGATGTTGTTAAAGCTTGATCTAGAGAAAGCCTACTACAGAATTCGTTGGGATTTCCTAGAGGAAACGCTTGTAGCTGCAGGACTGTCGGAGAAGTGGGTCGGATGGATACTGCAGTACATAACGGGACCCTCGATGCATGTTCTTTGGAACGGGGAGAAGACTAAAGCTTTTCAACCATCACGGGGACTTAGACAAGGGGGTCCCCTTTCCCCATATCTGTTTGTGCTTTTTATG